CAAAAACTTAGTGAGCTCCAAGAGGGTTCTTAGACTTACATATGATAATAGTATAAAAAGTTTAAAAATTATTCCATAGGATAAAAATATTTATATATATTTTGCGTTAAGGTTTAAAATATAAAGGGTTTTAGCAGTTGTTTAACACCCAAGGGAAAAAAAGAAATATTAGTTTGACACCATTAGTAAAAACTATTAAAGAGAGGATATTCTATAGTTAGAGGTTGCCTTTCCTGTGTGGAAGATAGTAACATTTTAATCAACTCTTTAATTTTTAATAATACCTTGGTTGAGAAGCAACAATATTTTAGTAGTGATTTTTCAGTCAGTATGCCAAAATTTGGTCTCTATATTCCCTCTTCTTAGTATGTTCACCTTCACACAGAACAGAAATATTTAAAATGAACTCACCCCCCCGCCCCCCTCCCCCACACACAACGCACACACAGCATTCTGATAAGTTAAAATCAAATAAATGTTTTTAAAATTCTCGTGCCTTGTTTGGGAGATTAAGGCATAAGAAATATTTTATGGAATTCAAATCTGTATGGGATTTTCCAACCACTAATGATTCTTTTTTCAGTAAAGCATTCAACAAGTTATTTATCGGACACCTATAATGTGACAGGCACAATTCTAGACACTAGATATATAGTTTCATATATATGCTTATGGATCCCAGACAATAACACAAATCAAACTTCTGATTTTCTTATTCATTTGCAAAAACAAACATTTTGTCACATCTCATGCATTTTGATATAAACGTTCTTAGTATGAGGCATCTATGGAGTTTAGGACCGACGTAATATTTGATGGCTTTCTGATATAAAAATAAGCCCAAGAAAGTATGGACCAGTTGCACTCTTCAGAAGGCTTCTGATATTATTAGCTGGAGGGATCATGAATGCATCTAAAACTTGATTTGGAACACCAGGCCCAGTGTCTGCCATAGCTCCCTCGGACTTCAGGAATCAAGTTGCTAAGAAAAGTAATACGAAGGGCACACCTATCCAATACAGTTGAGAGAATCTGCTTTCCCAGTTGTATTTAGCTATAATTGACATACATTACTGTACAAGTTTTAGGTGTGACTTACCTATATAAAGGTCTGCCTTGACTTACATATGTCGTGAAATGAATACCACAATAAGTTTGGTTAACACCCATCATCTCATATAGATACAATAAAAATAAATGGAAAGAGAGAAACTATTTCCCCTTAGAATGAGAATTCTTAGGACTTACTCTCTTAACTTCCATATATATATGATACAGCAGTGGTCACAAGAGTCATTATGTTGTACATTCATCCCTACTACTTATTTATCTTATAACTGAAACTTTGTACCTATGACCACCTCCTTCCAATTTCCCTTCCCCCCAACCTCACCTCTGGTAATAGAAAATCTGATCTCTATTTCTATGAGGTTTTTCTTTCTTTTTTTTTTTTTTTAGTTTAATTTTTTTAAGATTCCACATATAAGTGGATGATTCTTAATGGTATGTGAGACAGAACGATTCGGTTTTCCCTTGATATAGTCAAAATGATTACTAATCACACACCTTTGCTTGGTATACCATGCTGTGCCATACAAGCTAGTTAAAGATGTATAGATTCCACCATTACAATATAAATATTACAAATAAATACTATTTTGGGAAAGTTGAGCTACCTTAATTTTTCTGAGATTTATTCTATCCACTTGGCAAGATGTTCAAGTGTTCTGGTAAATAAAAGTTAGAATCCTCTTCTCTGAGAGAAAAATAAGAGTTGTAAGATCATTTCCATAGACTAGCCAACCTGATTAGCTTTCCTTCTTTGATAACATTCTACCATCATGTAATTTTTGGTTCTACTAACATTTTGTTAAGATGACATTTCTTTTCTAAAGTAATATTCCTTCATTTTATATTTTTGAAAACACAGAATTCTGTGTCTATATCCAATATTATTATGAGTTCTTTTATCCAAGAGAAAAACATAAAAAGCAAAATGAGTACTTCAAAAACAGAAACTCCGAGAGTAATTGAAACTGGTCAAATGAAAGGTGAAATACACACCCTGACAGTAGTTCTGACAAAGCAAAGGGTATCCAGCCCAACTTGAATTTTCTAAATTTGCTAACCATTATTTCTTACACCAAGTTTCCACCCACCTACCCCCACCATTATATCAGGTTGAAGTGTCTAAAAGAAGATAGACCCCGAAGAGCAGTTTAAAATGCTTTAACTTTTTAAAATGTGATACTGTTCTTTTTAAGAGTTCTTTCATATGTGATCAGTCAGAGATACTGACTTTTGTGAGTTAACACAAAAGTGAAATAGCACTTTTAAGTGCTGTCTCGCTTTGGAGATTTAATGTGCTTTGTAATATCTCTGAGATCAGTCGGGGAGAGACGAGAAAAAAGAAATTTGATTTTGAGTCTGGACCAAAGCTCAGTGACTTGAGAGGCACCTAAACATAATGAAAAGGAAGAAGTTTCAAAGAGAAAGTTGGCAGCTATGACCAGAATCCACAGGGCTAGCAGGACTGACATCAACCAGAGGCAGATTTAGAGGGGTACCTTATGATCTCTCTTGATACCATTGACACTTCAAGGCCTGGTTTCATTGGGGAACAGTCCAGTAAAAGAACATCTCCAAAGGACACAGCATGGTTGTGGTATTGAGAAAGACATGAAAATGCCAGCACCAAGGGCCTAAAGCTGTCCTTTTCTCCTCCAAAGATCACACATATCAGGGGAAAGCAAAAGTCAACATCTGAAATCTGCTTTTCAAGCTTGACTTGAATGATATAAAGTTGGCCGTATAATAGCTAGATGCTTACCTTTTTGACCTAGGTTCAGTCTAATGTAAGAACAAGTTATTAGCTGATTCCTGGTACTCTACACTTACCTCCTGGTGAATAACGTTATACCAAAGTTTTGTTTTTTTAATGAAAGTAACTATCAGCTAAATTTGTGTCAAATACTGAGAATCAGCACAGAATTCCCCCATCACTTCATTGTTTCCAATGTTTTCAAAGATCTATACATTTCTGCTAAAAATTCTAAAGGTTGAAATTAATGCGCAAATAGCTATATATGGAATATAAATTCTAATTTTGGTACGAAGAGTATTTAAACAACAAAAAAATAATGGTCAGTGAATTAAAGAAATCATAGAGCTTTTTAGATTAGAAAGTATGTGTTGAGAAAAGGGATAGGTACCTGAGTTTCACAGACCTACAGTTAATTTATTCAGTACAAGAAAAAAAGAATCCAGACCAGTATGTTAACTACACATGGGAATTGAAAATTAAAGACCAAATGAATTCATCATGATGATATGTGTGCTACAATAACATCTTTTTCAATTATGTTAGGCTGAATTATAATTGAATTGTTGCTATAGAAAGTTTTACAATTTGCTTATATGAGAATTATGTTCAAAATCAATAAAAGAACTGAGCTATTTGACAAAAAACTAAGGTAAAAATACCAATTGTAATCCAAATGTTCAGACAATTGGAAGAAAAAGCTAATAATAACCACTTCAATTCTGCTTATGCTTAACTTCATTATAAAAAATCCGAGTCTGCCTCCAGTATTATCATTACCTCTAGTATATTATTTTGGATATATCTTCATGACATCAAAATATCTGATTAATATGACATAATGAATTAGTAAAATTTAGTGAAAAAATGTTCTAATATTTTCTCTCATAAAATATCAATTAAAACTTTATGTTTTAAGAGGCTTAGTTAGTACTTTGTGGGTACTTTCAAAGTTTTTTAACTGGAGCACAATTTTTACAAAACTGAAAAAAAACCCATTCAGTAAAATACTATACCTTTACTATTAGCTAAGGTATCTATTTTGTGGAACCAATCCTAGAGGGATTCTTAAGGAAGTCACTTTTTTTTTTTAATTCACAGAAGTTTGCTTTCTTTAAATTTTTATTTATTTATATATTTTAATATGTTTTTATTGATTTTGGAGAGAGAGGAAGGGAGAGGAAGAGAAAGAAGCATTGGTGTGAGAGTGTAACATTGATCAGCTGCCTCCTGAATGCTCCCTTCTGGGGATCAAACCTGCAACAGGGGCATGTGCCCTGACCAGGAATTAAACCAGCGACCCCTTGGTGCATGGGACGATGCTCAAATGAACTACACTGGTCAGGGCTATTTTCTTTTAAAATTTTAAATAAAGTGAGAAGAGAGGTTTCATTCCTTATTGCCAAAGTTCAAAAAAGATTATCTGGTGACATTCTAAATACTGGCAAAGAAAACATGACCATACCAAAAAGTATAAGAAATTTATGTTTTGGAAAGATATTGATTAGTATGTAGTCTCCAGTTATTTATAAATGAGTGTTAAGTATCAATGATAGAGTTACTGAGCTAAAATTATAAGTAGCTTTTTGTATATTACAAGCATTTAAATCAAAGTAAATTGTATCACCTAGTGTCCCAAATCTTACTGTGTCTTTAGGCATTTCTCTTTTTGCTTCAAATCTAAACAAGCATTTTATTCTCACTTGGAATAGCTAAACTAAATGCAATCCTTGTTTCTATTTTGAAAATAAAGTAATTCTGATGGTCTTTACAGAACTATCACATCCAGAAGTCACACACACTAGAGATTAAAACTCTATGAAGTCATCTATATACTAATAAATATAAATGAAAAAGAAAGAAATATAAGAGAGATATCCTATGGCAAACATTGAGAGTGATAGATATCAATCTTTTCTACACTTATAACAGCATAGACATTTTCATAAATGCATCTATATGAATTTTAATGTCAAATATTTCATTCCACAAATATTTATTCAAAGTCTGTTACATACCAAGTTCTGAGGATCCATAAGCAAATAAACAGATGCAGTTCTTATCTAGTTGGAGAAGACAGAATACATCAAGTATTAATAGATGCTATGGATAAAATGAAGTCAAGGCACAAAACTAACAAAAGACTGGGATTTACCCCTGCATACCTATTTATTTTATGATCCAACTGATGTTAATAGTAGGGTCTTTCTCCAGTTGGATTTCCTATCATGGCACCCGCCGCTCACAGCTCAATAAGTTTTCTTTTGCCTAAAATATAAAGTGAAAGGAAATAACAAGAGAATTTCATCCAGGAAATCTAATTGATGCTCTATCAGTTTTATAAGAATTCAAATGGCCTAAAATATCCCCTATTGATAAAACATTAAAAATTCAATTTAGCTAACATGTAATGGGCAGAATTATGTTGTGATTTAATTTATATATACATACCCCCTTATTTAAGATTTGCATAGTCATTTTAATACTTATTATGATATAAGTAATTGTAATTTATGCACTACACAATGTAATCCAACCAATTAACATTCTAGCCCTTGTATTTCTTCTATTGCTATATCAGGGAATGTGTTTCTACAAGGCAATACAATTCCTATAATGGTATTTATCCATGCCCCTCTTTAGTTTAGAGGCAACTAAACACTTGTAGAAAAAAAATTATATATATATATATATTTCCTGGCTGTAAAAATGCCCAATTAGGATTTGTTTTTGAGTTCTAATTATTTAAATCTTGTTAGCGTTACCTAACATTTCTATATTTAAAATGATCCATTGTTTCAAATTAAACATGATTCTCAAAATATTGCCCTCTTGATTTCACAAAATGTTGTGTTTGGGTTTTTTTTTTTTTATTAATATAGAGGGTGATAAAGAATTCTGGGAATTTATTTATTTAACTTTTGATATTATCCACCAAAAATAATAAACAACAAATAGCTATCACCAATTTCTTTTACATTTATACTCTGTAAGTAGTCTACATAGGTAAATAAAAAGTATGATTTTTAACTTGAGACTATTGTCTTTAAAATACAGTCATAATTTTCATGAGCTAAGTTAGTAAGCTCCTAACTTCTCCTGAAGTTCTTAAAACAATTCAGTGAGGACTACTGGAAAAAGAAGCAAAATTAGCGAGAACAGCTATTCCATCAAAAAATACAAAGACCATCTCTTCTAGGTAAATATTTAAGTTAAAGTGGGAACATGTTCTAAAATCTTTATCTCTTATCCAATAACTCTGCATCCTTGAGCTTCATATTCTATAAGAGATGGTTGCTATGAAACTTGCTTAAAATTTTAATAACTATATTCAGCACAGGATTTCATAATACATGGAAAGCATTCCAGACATACCATCTCAATAATGCTCTCTATAATATTTAAAACACATTTTTTGAAGAGCTTATTTTGGCTCTAAATCTTCATCTCCTTCAGAGGACATTTGAGAAGCTTAATTTCAATTTGTTACTCTGCAATATCCATTTTGTGCCACATAGGAAAGAAATAGATATAATTTCTCAAATAATAGTTCTAAAAATATGAGCTATTGGCCCAATTTAATTCTAATTCCACTGATAGCTTAAACAGCAGCTTTTATTATGAGAAAACATGTTTATAGTTATGTTCCAATTGCTATCATTCTGTGTTCTTGACTGTCCCAGAGGGAGGGAAAAGCATATCACACAACCTTATCTAAAGGAGGATATGAACCAAGGCTCACATATCAGAAATGATGCATCTCTTTAACATGTTGAATGCAGGAATTTCTGAACTATTTATTTTATTGTTTTCCAAAAATACTTACATTGAGTTTAAACAGCCATAGATAGTGACAGATTTTGTGTCACCCTGTAGACATGCATCATCTATGCTGGAGGCCAAGAAATGAGTAGTTTCCATAATTAGTCAGCAAGCAAAAATTGAATAATTGGACTATGGTATATCAAAGGGTTGTTTTTGTTAAGAAGGAAAACCATGTAATCTGTTAGTCCTAGTCAAGTGGGTTCATTTGAATTATTATTTTTAAGCACACAATTCTCTTGTGCTTATCTACACTAATAAAAGAGAAACATGGTAATTGGTGTACGACCGCTACCCTTTTCATTGGCTAATCAGGGAGATATGCAAATTAACTGTCAGCCAAGATGGCGGCCGGCAGCCAGGCAGCTTGAAACTAACATGAGGCTTGGTTGCCTCAGTGACAGAGGAAACCAACATTCCCCGCCTGCGGCTGCAGGCCTCTGAGCAGGCAGTTTAAGAAACATTGTAACAAATACCGCCGGACTTCAGCCAGCAGATTCGCAACATTGTAAGCAAAGACCAGAAACCTACTTTCAGCTGCGGAGGCCTAAGAGCTGGAGCCAAGCCTCAAGGTAAAGCTGGCCCAGAATAAAAAAAAAAAAGGATAAAAGGAGCGGTTGGGAACTTCAGTCACTCCCAGCCTGAAAACAGCCCTCAGCCCCTCACCCAGACTGGCCAGGCACCCCAGTGGGGACCCCCACCCTGATCCAGGACACCCTTCAGGGCAAACCAGCCAGCCCCACCCATGCACCAGGCCTCTACCCTATATAGTAAAAGGATAATATGCCTCCTGGCACCGGGATCAGCGTGACAGGGGCAGTGCCCAAAACCCCTGATCGCCCTGTGGCTCTGTGTGTGACAGGGGGTGGGGCCCCAACCCCCTGAGCAGCCCTGCTCTGTGCCTGATAGGGGGGAGCTCCCCAACCCCCCCCCCCCCACGGGCCCTGCTCTGTGTGTGATGGGGTAGAGCCATAACCTCCCCATCGGCCCTGCCCTGAGTGTGAGAGTGGCGCTGCCCCAACCCCCTGATGGGCCCTGCTCTGTGGGTGATAGAGGGCAGTGCCCCAAACCCCTGATGGGCCCTGCTCTGTGTGTGACGGGGGCAGCGCCCCAACCCCCTGATTGGCCCTGCTCTGTGCGTGACAGGGGGTGGCGCCGCAACCTCCCCATCGACCCTGCCTTGAGTGTGACAGGGGACGGTGCCCCAACCCCCCAATTGGCCCTACCCTGAGCGTTACTGAGGGTAGCATCGCAACCTCCCAATCTGCCCTGCTCTGTGCATGACGGGGCGGCGCCCCAACTCCCCAATCGGCCCTGCTCTGAGCCCGACCAGGGGCTGCACCTAGGGATTGGGCCTGCCCTCTGCCACCTGGGAGCAGGCCTAAGCCAGCAGGTCGTTATCTCCCGAGGGGTCCCAGACTGCGAGAGGGCACAGGCCGGGCTGAGGGACCCCCCCCTCCCCCCCAAGTGCACAAATTTTTGTGCACCGGGCCTCTAGTTTAACATAAATAAATATTCAAGTATAGATTTTTAAAATTCTCTTTCACCAGATAATCCACACAATGGTTTTCTACTTACTTAGAGTTTTCTTTGGGAAAAAAGTACTCTAGGTTTAATTTTAACATAAATTTATAGCAATATTGATAAAAATAAAATATGTCCCCCAAATAAATGAAATATTTGAAAGTCAATGTATGAATTACAACATTAAGAAAAGATAAAACTAATTTGATTCAAATTTCTGAGGCAGAAATTTATTTTGAATGAATACCCTTTAAAAATATGGCATGTATTATAACATTACTCATTTTATTTTCACATTATGTTGTTTAGTAGAATGTGCCTTTGAGGTGAAACTTTAAAGCATTTATAATTTGATGATAAACTGGAAAAAATCAAGCATTCATTCATTCAATCATTCATGCACATATTCATCAATTTAGCTGATATGAATTGAATGTCTACTATAAAATGGATAACCATTATGAAGATAAAATTTCTTCTATAAAGGAATGTATAGTCTAAGTCCACTGAGTTTATTGACAGTTACTATTACCTAATTTAAAGCTGAAGAATTTGTTAGAATCCAGATATTTTACACTGAAATTTCAACTAATCTTGGGTTCTTTATTAGCTCAATAAATTAGCATTGGTTTTTTTCTATCTCCTGAATGACACCTGAAAAAATACCCCCAATAGCTATTTTACCTGCTATATTTTCAACTTTCTGTCCGAAAGCTGGTTATGGAAACTATTGAGTAGATAAACTGCTTCATCCGGTTCTCTGTGGTTGATTCCTCTACTTTAAGGTATTGTTCAATCATTCAGTCCTTCCATGGGCTTTAAGAAAGGAGAATTCAAATAAACCTGTGAAGGTCTTCAGAAATCAGGCACTAGAAAAAAAAATGTATAATGTGGATGTTCTATAACACTAACATTGGTAGAGTAGAATTGGTATTAATTTTGTGAAGAATCTTCAAAGTTCTGAGTACCTCGAGAAACATATACTGCATACAGGATTTTTAACATAGAAATCATTCAATGAATTGTACTCCCATATATAATATAGTTTTAGACCTATGGACGTGTATTTTCTTGGAGTAACACGTGTGTGCTTATGTGTATGTGTACATAAGAATTGGAGGAGTTAAACTTCTGGAGCCTCTAAATTTTAACATTTTCCAATAGTTTTGACTAGTCCTTACAATAAAGTCAGCCATTTCTCTATGCACTATTACCAAGTGTTGGCAGCAGTAATATGTCTGATAGTATTATATAAAGTCATTCCCAGAAATACCATCTCAGAGAAGCAATAGCCTGGGGCACGTTGTTCGATCATGGTAGATCATGAGATTACAAGGGTAAATGTGGAACATGGCAAAATTTGGTGTTAAGCATACCATTTTTAGAAATATCCTAGTGGTTATATGTCACACTATAAAATTTTTAAAGTTATATTTTTCTTTTTAAAGAAGTTTGATTTTTTAAAAGAATGAATATTTTTGTTAATTTCATATAATGTTATCACAAAAAATATTATTCTAATGTTAAATTTAATAATATTTCCACTATGTTAAGCATGCATTAATACACTAGAAAACATCACCTAGATTTGTTTTGCATCTGCATTGCTAAGTAATTTGTATTTTGAGTAGAGTTTAATTTTAACAATTATATAAGGAAAGAAACAGGTACTTTTATCAGTCTCTATATTTTTCATGGCTGTGATCAATGTTTCTATAATGATTTAAGTTAATATTACTTTGCCCATTTCTCTACAATACAATAATTTGGATATTTACTTTTACAGGACAATTAAGTTTTAAGTAGTTGATGGTAGTCATTGTATAGCTTCTAAATGGAACAACAGTGATGCATGCCAAAATTGAGAAATCAGTAAACACCTCATTCTATGCCACCAGCCTCTGTATCTTTAAAATATATATTTTCATCTCTGTGATATCACTTTCACCTTCAGATGCTTAAGCAGATTTATGGTCTCAGTACGCACATTCTTGTATCTAATCGTATAATTTTCAGAAAAACGACTGTATTACCAGTTACATAAACTCTGCCATGTATTTGAAGATTATTGCATTATTTTACTTATTATGTGGTTATATTATCATGTTTTTAGCCAATAGACCATATTGCAAAGGAGGGTATGTCCTTAGGGACTTTCCTAAAATCCTTCAGGAAGAAATAATTTGTGGGAAGATATGGGTATGGGAGGGATGGGTTTCTAAAGTGATTCAGCAAACATTTATTTAGCATGCGCTGTGTGCAAAATACTGAAAATGGCTAGAACATTGGTGTATTGATTTCACGCTATATACAGAAATAGTCCTTTGGCAATATTGTCTTCATTATATATTCCAAATTACTCTGGTTGTCCTATTCATGGGAATGGCATTGATTTAAACGTGTATATAAATTTTAATGATTTGAAAATACAATATTTCACAACTTTAATTTGATAAAAGACATTGCAATTTTTCACCCCCTTCAGGTCCACTTATAACAGGATCACTCAGTTTGAAGTATTGTAAGGATGTTTTAACCAGATTACTAAATTTTTTGCTTATGCAATGTCACTAAATAGCAGGTTTGCTTATAACTGTTTGTTTCCTCTTTTTGCTCTTAATTTAATTTACTAACTTTTAATGGAAGATATGAAAAATGGATACCCAGCACTTATATCCATGTATTTGAGTCTGGGGAGGAAAAATGATGAAAGTGAATAACCAGGATATATGTTCACTCATTCCTTTCTTTTCCTTCAGAATGGGGATAATTTTATGAGAAAGTACACACTTATGTTTCACAAGACCTCTGCCCGCTAAGTCATAGTTTGGCTATCTTTGAAAACGAACCCTCTATGCAAACTAGGAATTAAAGAAATTAGTTTCCTCTGGACTAAGGGATCCTGAGAAAATTATAACTTGGAACTCTTCTGAGTTGGTTTCCTCACTTTGAAATCATTTCTTACTACTCTGTACATTTCAAGGGTATGCTGAGGTAACTCGCAGAAGTACCTGCTCTTCCCCCTGCTCTCTTATCGTCTACAAAAAGACAATGTGCTCTATTCTCTTGTACTCCACACTGAGGTGACCATCCCACATGTCTCTCATATCTCACTGTGAAGTACAAAATGTTACAATGATAACTCACCTTAACTTAATAATTGATTGGGTAGATAAATATGCCCACTCTTTATTAGTCTTTTCTACAAATTCTGAAGGCATCATGAGGGATTATTATAAGTACCCTGAGCAATTCTATCCTACATGTTGGACCCAGTGTCCTGATATTCAAGAGAGTATTGAGAGGAGAGGAAGGCAGGGAGAGAACTACAGTCAAATAGGTTTAGGAAAACAAAGGACAAAGAGGATTGATGCTCACTGCTCACATTTAATGTAAAAATCAGAAAAGCTGTACCACTCTAGTGTTACTCTCTCAACTAGCATGGATGATGCAGGAGAGTAAGAATAAAGATGACTCAATGGGATGTCTAGTCATATGGCCCTGACAGAAGTCAGTTGCATTTTTATACACCAATAATGAACTATCAGAAAGGGAAGTAATCCTATTCACAATTGCTTTAAAAAGGATAAAATACATAGCGATAAATTTATTCCAGGACAAAAAAGACATATACTCATAAAATTATAAGACACTGAAGAAAGAAACTGAAGAATATATAACTAACTGGAAGTATATACTGAGTTCATGAATAGGAAGAATTAACTTCATTAAAATGTCCATACTACCCAAAATAATCTACAGATTCAATGCAATTACTATCAAAATGCCAACAGTGTATTTCACAGAAGTAGAACAAATATTCCAAAAATGTATATGGAACCACAAAAGACCCTGAATAGCAATAGTGCTCTTGTAAAAGAAGAACAAAGTTGGCAGAATTATGCTACCTGATATCAAACTATACTAAAAGGTTATAGTAATCAAAACAGCATGGTACTGGCATAAAAACAGACATATAGATCAATGAAACAGAATAGAAAGCCCAGAAATAGACCCATACTTTTAAATTCAATTCGTATTTGACAAAAGAGGGAAAAACATACAATGGGCTAAAGATATTTAATAAATGGTGTTGGGGAAAATTGGACAGATACGTCTGAAAAAATTAAACTAGACCACCTTCTTACACCATACAAAAGAATAAACTCAAAATGGATTAAACACTTAAATATTAGGCACAAAACCATAAAAATCTTAGAAGAAAACATAAGCAGTAAAATCTTGGATATTTCCCATAGCAATATTTTTTCTGATATATCTGCTACAAAAAGGGAAACAAAAGAAGAAAATAAACAAATGGCACTACTTCAAACTAAAAGTTTTTTCATAGCAAAGAAAACTATCAACAAAATGTAAAGACAACCCACTGAATGGGAGAACATATCCGCTGATACATCTGATAAGGAGTTAACATCTAAAATTTGTTAAGGAAGTTATAAAACTCAATTAAAAAATAGGCAAAGGACCTGAATAGACACTTCTCCAAGGAGGACATACAGATGGCCAATAGACATAAGAAAAGATTCTCGATGTCACTAATCATCAGAGAAATGCAAATTAAAACCATAATGAGATATCACCTCACACCTGTCAGAATGGCTATCATCAATAAATCAACAAATAACAAGTCTTGGAGAGGTTGTGGAGTAAAGAGAAACCATGTACACTGTTGATGGGAATGCATATTGGTGTAGCTACTGTGCAAAACAGTATGGCAGTCCCTCAAAAAATTAAAAATGGAACTGCCTTATGACTCAGCAATTCCACCTTTAGGAATTTATCCGAAGAAACCTGAAACACTAATTTGAAGAATATATATACTCCTATGTTCATTGCAGCATTATTTATAATAACAAAGATTTGGAAGCAGCCCAAGTGTCTATAAGTAGATTAGTAGATAAAATAGGTATGGTACGTTTACACAATGGAATACTATTAGGCCATAAAAGAGAAGAAAAGTTCACCTTTTGCAACAACATGGATGGACCTGGATAGTATTATGCTAAGTAAAATAAACCAGTCAGAGAAAAACAAGTACCATGTGATTTCACTCATATGTGGAATCTAACAAGCAAAATAGAGACAGACTCACAGGTAGAGAGCAGGCTGACACTTCTCAGGGTGGGGGAAGGGATACAGGGGGCATGGAGGGATTGAGCAACAAAGGGAAAAAAAAAAGGAGAAAGAATATATGGACCTGGACAATAGTGTGGTGATTGTGGGGAGAGGATTGTAGGGGAGGTGAGAGAGAATATAGGAGAATAAATGGTGATTTAAAAAAAGTAAAATAAAATAAAACTTACATTATGCACAGGTCAGATAAATGCTGGGATTTGTAATTCATATACTAGTAAATTCATATATATATATATATAATACATATTTGCATCTTATATATGTACTAGAGGCCCGATGCATGAAAATTCGTGCAAGAGTAGGCCTTCCTTCCCCTGGTTGCTGGCACCAGCTTCCCACCGGCACCCAGGACCTGGGCTGTCTTCCCTCAGGCCCCACCTTTGTCAGGAAGGACGTCTGGAATGACATCTGGAAGATGTCTGATCTAATTAGCATATTACCCTTTCATTATTATAGATAATACATATATGCATGTGTTTCTATCTTTATGTATATTCATACATGCAAATATGTATTTATATTTATTTTATAAATTTTATTTAATATAAAAACTTTTTCATGATAAACATGAATTTATCTTATCCAATATATAGAAATGGGGCATAATGAATTATACTAGAAAGACATATTTCTTTACTCTCTATTTCATTCAAAATAAGTGCTATAAAGCTGATCAGAACATTTTTAACTAGGAGGGTAAATTTAGAGATAA